CGCTTTGTTGCCCAGGGCTAAAAGTGATGCCTAGCATCAGCCTAGGCTACAGCAACCTCGAAGACTCCTGGCCTCAGGAGCAAGTGCCTATGTGCGCTCAGCCCTCCCAAGTAGCTCTACAGGGAATGTGCACCAGCCGGCTAATTTTTTTGTCATGAATAGTTAGTGTGCCGGAGTGGGGGTCTATTTATCAGTAGAGTCGGGGTCTTGCTTTTGTCAGGCTGATTTTTTTTTGGACCTATATACTTTTTTATTTTCTTATTTTGCTTAAACATACTAAGAAGCAGTTGACAAGATCAGCGCTGCGTCTCAAACTGCCGGGCCCGTCGAGCAATCCGCCCACCTGCGCCTCCCAGAGCTGCTAGGATACAGCGTGAGCGCCGCACTGCGAGATCGCGACTGTAGTCTTATGTGTCGTGACATAATAGTAGATCGTATGGCTGGCCAATGGGCCGTGGTGGCAATCTGCGATCCCTCGCGGTGTGCGAGTAGTGTTGTCAACTGTCAGTCCCCTATTCCTAAGGCATCGGATGGATGGAGAGAGGAAGCTATTGAATTTAGAGCGGGTTTTGTTGCTTATCTGCGAGTCTGGGGTAGAGGAGGAAGAAGATGTCTTCCATACACTTCTTATCTAAGACTCTTGCACTCAGCCGAGGCCTGCGGCCCCCCGGCTATACCACAAAGAAATTAAGAACTAGCCCCATTGAATGAATTTCAATGGCTCCTACCTTATGTGGACCCAAACTCATCTCCACAAGTGAATTTTTAATCTCTATTAGAATTTTTTTTTGTGGTGAGCATGATGACTTAAAAAATTTTTTGTATTAATTTAAGGGGTACAATATAGCTTTGCTACATGGATATAATGTGTAGTGGTGAGACATTTCTATTTCTATCTTGACACCCAGATAGATGAAGTGATAGGACTTCTGTTTATGTCCCAAATGAGAGAACTGGACTAACTTGTGTCTAAAAGTTACTTCTAGCTCTACCATTTTATGATTAAATTCATCTGAAATTCATCCTCTCCCTACTAAACTGCCTATAACTCAACTACCCATCTTTATTAAGCAGTCGTCCCCACACAACCCAGAGGGATCCAAAGCACTGCTGAGTTTCTACTTAGTCTGACTCCCTCATTCCTGTAATACCTAATCTCCCTCTTGGACAGTATCTCCAAACTCCTTTGCTTCCATTTAAAAAGTATGAGCACATATTTCCAATATATGTGTATCTAATCACAGATTCTATACATTATAAAATAATTACTTCCATTTAACCACTTCGATACTAGCGTTGACTATAGTCGATAGCCACAGATGAACGTGCATGTCAATTTTAGCCAACAGCCGTGATATGACTTTTCTAATTCTCTTTTTTTATTTTTTATTTGAGACAGAGTTTCGCTTTGTTGCCCAGGCTAGAGTGAGTGCGTGTTGTCAGCCTAGCTCACAGCAACCTCAAACTCCTGGGCTTAAGCGATCCTGCTGCCTCAGCCTCCCGAGTAGCTGGGACACAGGCATGCGCCACATGCCTGGCTAATTTTTCTATATTAGTTGGCAATTAATTTCTTCTATTTTAGTAGAGAGGGGGGTCTTGCTCGTTGCTCAGGCTGTTTCGAAACTCCTGACCTCGAGCAATCCACCCGCCTTGGCCTCCCAGAGTGCTAGGATTATAGGTGTGAGCCACCACACCCAGCCTAACTTTTCTAATTTTTCATTTTATCAAAATAAAATTGTGAACATTTAAAAATAATGCAATGAAAACATATATGTATGTGTTACCTATTCTGATTCACATTATCAAGTAAAGCTGGCCTGTATAAGTGTAAAACAAGCTTTCAGTGCTTAAAGCTTTTCCTCACACACAAGAGCAAACGGATTCGTCATCAATGCACAGCACAAACTATCGTGCAAACTATGAGTGCCGGCTGTGGGCAAGGTTTCAGGGCCGACGGCCGGTGAGCGCCATACCCAAGTGGTTAAGCAGAGTCCTAGCTCCTCATGTAACTAAGGACTTTGCTCTTGCCATTATTTCCATCCATACACCAAAATGCTACAATGCCCCTGCCTCCTCCAACTACCATTCACTTCTCCTTAACCCACTCTGATCAGACTTTTGGCCCACTAGTTTATTTAAGAGGCTCTTCTCAAATTTCAACTACTGCACTTGATTACATAGTCAAATTTTAATTCTCATTTTATTCTTGGCAGTGTTTTATACAGCTGACCATTCCCTTGGTCTTGAAACATTTTCTTCCTTAGTACTCCCGATGTCATACCCTCCTGGCTTTTCTGCTTCCATCTCTGTTTGTTTCTCTTCGGACCAGAGTGCTCCCAGTCATGTGCCTTCTTCTCATTAACATTCTCTATTTGATGTCCTCCAGCCCTTGGGTTTAAATATCATCTATAAAATGACTCCTACATTATCTCCCTAGTCTAAATTCTCTCCTGAGTGCTAGTCATGGATATCTAACTTGTCTGCCACACATATTCTCAGCTGTTTAACAGTTATCAAATTCAGTAAGTCCCATACAAAACTCCCGATTTATCTCCCGGAAACTTTAGCTGGGTGTGGTGGCGTGTGCCTGTAGTTCTAGCTACTCCAGAGCCTGAGGTAGAAGATTGCTTGAACCCAGGAGTTTGAGGTTATGGTGAGCTATGATCACACCACTGCACTTCAGCCTGGGTGACAGAGAAAGACTCCATCTTAAGGGAAAAAATAAAAAAGACAGAGAGAGAGAAACTGATGCTTCACCTTCCCAATTTTAGTAAATGGTACTACCATTCACCCAGATGCTTAGGCAAAACTGTCAATTTTTTTTTGTTCCCGGGGTGAAAGCAAGATTCATTTGGCTCCAGCTTCAAATTACATTCCAAATTAGACCAATTCTCACTAATTTTTAACTCTACACTTCTCGTTCAAGCTACCATATCTCAACTAAACTATTACAAAAGCCTCCTTAAGCTGGTTTCCCCAGAGCCTTCCTAGCTGGTCTATTCTCCACCCAGCAACCAGTCATCTGAAGCATAAATCATACATTGCTCTCCTGCCAAAATCTACTAATGGCTTCTCCTTACAGGTAGAAAAAGGATATAAGGCTCCATTTTATTTACTCCCTCACTAACCACTCTGATCTCATCTCCCACCATGCTTCCTTCACTATGCTTGAGACATACTGGCCTTCTCAGTATTTCTCAGGGAGTAAACTTGACTGAATAGGTCAAGTTTACTCCCACCTCAAAGTCTTTGTGTTTTCGTAGTTGCTGCCTTTGAAAAGTTCTTCCTTGAAATCTTTTTCATGATTTAGACCTCAAAGCAAAACAAATTTACTTAATTTTATACATCCCTTCTTTCTTCAAGTTCCGTGAGGACAGGCATAAAATAGCGCTTAGTACATAGCAGAATCTCAATAAATATTTCTTGGGTGATCACTAGATGGGCTTTTTCTGATCGTATCTTTTTAAGCTGTTTTTTTTTTTTTTGAGACAGAGTCTCACTCTGCTGCCCTGGCCTAGCATTCTGTTGCCCAGCTAAGAGTGCCCTGATATTAGCCTAATGTAGCTCACAGCAACCTCACACTCCTGGGCTCAAGCGATCCTCCTGCCTCAGTCTCCTGAGTAGCTGGGTCTACAGGCACATGCCATCACGCCTGGCTAATTTTTTCTATTTTTCATACAGACAGGGTCTCCTCTTGCTCAGGCTGGTCTCCAACTCCTGACCTCAAGCTATCTTCCTGCCTTAGCCTCCCAGAGTGCCAAGATTACAGGCATGAGCCATCACACCTGGTCCTGATCTTATTTTATAAAAGGACAATAAAGGATTTAGGACACCAAGGTTAGCCGAAACATATTAACACACATCAGCATAACAAAGATTTTCCAGCACAGAAAAATATGCCAAAAAACCAAGATAAGCATTTAAGACAAATATCACTTTAGAACTTGATATATAGGAATGACTGTAACTTCTAGCTGTAAACTACTGGCTAATTATATTACAGAATTCATCTAGTAATGAAAATGGTTTATTCCATTTGGAATTAATATGTATATATATTTTTTGAATAGTAGTTATTAGAAAATCTCATATTTAAGAAACAAGGGGAAAGTCATTTAAAAATTAAATAGGGACCCCAAATCACTGGCAATAAGCAATACATATCTACAGCTCTTTCATAGCCATTGTATCTCCTGAATGAATAAATCCACCCATGAATTGTAATTTTTCAATAACATGAATTATATTGTAATATAATCAAGACCAGAGGTTTATTATTTTAGGCCACTTAACAAAAAAGGAAAAAACTATTTGGGGATCAAAAAACAAATACAAATCAAAAAACAAATACAGCAGATTTTGGAAGTAGGGAGATTTTAAGACTAAAGAATTTCGGTTGCTTTCTATCGCACTAAATGACTCCACAGCTATGTTACTAAAGAGATTTCAATTCCTTAAGAAAAACTTAATGGGCACTGCATTTGACACTAGACACTTCCTTTCAGACAAGACTGGGAGGCACGAAAGCCCCAACCCATCAAGTTGGGTACCGATCGCCCAACAAGTTGCCAGAAGGTAAACTTCTCGGGGTCCCGCAGCTGGAAGGAGGAGGGCCCTCTCCTGGGACTAGGGACTGACTTCTAGAAAAGAACGAATCTGAGTGCACAAGAAGAAAGCAAAAAGGAAAAGCCACAGGGCTGGCAGGCTCCTAACTCCACCCTTCCCGGGCTCAGCCCAGAGAAGGCCCCGTCTTGCTGGCTGCCGCCCCTGCATCCCCCTCTTTCCAAGCCCACCCAGCAGCGCCACGAAAGGTCCCGCCGCCCTCGCCTCCCCTCCCCCAAACCAGGAGCTGGGGCGGCCCAGGAAGGTTAAGAGCTTCCGTTCCTTCCCCGCCCATATGAGAAGGGGTGGGAGGTGGGATTGCGATCGCGCCCAGTCCCATTCTCCCTCATCCTCCACGCGTACCCGGAGCTCCATTCCCGCCCTAGCCCGACACTCACTCGTCAGCCTCGCAGGCGCCGCAGCCACTGCAGCCGGGTCCCCGCGTACCGCCACAGCCCCTACTCCAGGGCCGCCCCCCCACCCCCAGCTCCCTGCCCCCGTGGGTTCCGGGGCAGCCGGAGGAATTACTTCCGGTGGGTCACAGCCGCTTTCTGCGAGGCGCGGGAGATGGGAACCTAGTGGGGCGGGGACGTAGAGTCGGTAGCTCGCTTCCGTCTGGAGGAAGTGCGTAGCGCCTTCTCCCTTCCCCTACAGTAACGCTGGCCAGCCTGAGCGCAGTCTCCGGAGAGTCTCAACCAATCGGAGCCTAGGTCTTCTGGATTCCCAGCGTGCCCCGCCAGCCCTGATCCCATTTCTGTAGAAACGGAATGCTTGGAGGCGCGCTCGGAGGCCCGAGACAGCACTGCATCCTGGGATTTGTCGTTTCTCCGGCAGATACTGTCGGTGTTTGGCCCGAGGCAGCACTGCATCCTGGGGCTTGTAGTTTCTCGCGCTTAGTGTTAAGCTTTTCATGGTTTTAGAGGTTGCCCCTACCTAGTTTGGGGGTATGCCTGGAGCGGGGAGACTGCAGAGGAAAGATTGAAACGTGGGAGTGTGGTTTCTATGCTAACAACATCGTGTTCTTAATGAAGCTGGATCTGTCGCTTGTGAAATAACCTGCCGTGCATGCCGAAGAGCATCTCAACGGCTGGCGTTACGTGCTGGCCTCATTTCCTCTCTTCCCGGTATCGTCCAGTGTTTACTGAAAATTAACCACGCCCTTACCCCCACCCGGGGCCCTTCCCCCGCCCTCCTGGGTTTGCTTAGCTGCCCTCCATTCTGAGCTCACTCCCGGGAAGTCCAGGCGCCTGCCACCACCATTATTTCAGTTCTGGGACCATCTTTCTCACCCTATGACCCCCTTTCCTGTGGTTAGATATACTGGCACCTTTCCAGGAAGGCTGAAACTGCTAAACACGCTTCTGCTTTCGGGGAGCGTGGCATGAAGAGCTTGTAGGGCCAAGACTCTCAAAAGTTGCTCAACTAAGCACTTTGTGTCCACAAAAGGAAAGGCTACACATAGTTTGTTGAACTAATAAATGACTTGCCTGGAATGCTTTTTTTAGATTATTTGGCAGATAAAAGGTATTGCTTCTTTTGGAATTAATTGCAAGAATAGAGCAAATTGTCCTGTGTAGAAATAACAAAAGGTTTTTAGCTGTAATGGTAGCTCAAAATACAGTGTGGTTGGGAGGAGGCTGTGGGCCCATTTTCAATTGTACATTTCCTCCTCTATTTCAGGACGATAAAAAACAACCACCCCCCCAATTACCTACTGTAGGGGGGAGGCAGGTCATACTTTCTATAAATGACAGCCATTATTCATTTTCCATCAGCTTCCATCATTAAATGGAATCTCGCAGATGGTATGAATGGGTAATCAAAGGTTATTTTTTATTTTATTTTATTATTTATTTTATTTTATTTTTTTAAGGCTGCTCAAGTGGGGCAGTGGGAGTGGAGAAGGAACAAAGGAATCTGTAACTGGTTGTGATCAATTAGTTCTAAACACCACTGCATTGGGACCAACCTATTTATTTATTTATTTAGAGACAGAGTCTCGCTCTGTCCCGGGTCTAGAGTGCCCTGGTGTCAATTTAGCTCAAGGCAATCTCAAACTCCTGACCTCAAGTGATCCTCCCACCTCAGCCTCACAGAATGCTAGGATTACAGGGGTGAGCCACCACGCCCGGCCAAGGGTTATTTTTTAAAAAACAGCCTTAGATTCTTTCTAAAATCCCATTCAAATAGTTTATATTTAACAAATGTCTCTAAATTACTAGACTGAAAAATCTATTTAACCATATATAACAATTCCACGTAATTCTATAGCAAAATTTTCAGAATATCTCATTTTATATATTTAAAAATCTTGAGAAGTAGGCCAGGTGTGGTGGCTCACACCTGTAATCCTAGCACTCTGGGAGGCCAAGGCGGGTGGATCCTTCCAGTTCAGGAGTTCAAGACCAGCCTGAGCAAGAGCGAGACCCTGTCTTTACTGAAAAAAAAAAAGAAAAGAAATTAGCTAGACAACTGAAAGTATATATATAGAAAAAATTAGCCAGGCATGGTGGCGCATGCCTATAGTCCCAGCTACTTGGGAGGCTGAGGCAGGAGGATAGCTTGAGTTCAGGAGTTTGAAGTTGCTGTGAGCTAGGCTGATGCCATGGCACTCACTCTAGCCTGGGCAACAAAGTGAGACTCTGTCTCACACACACACACACAAAAAATGTAAGTAGAAGATACTTTAAGAAAATAAAGTTATTCACAAAGTAGTATCATTTTCTCCTTCTGGTTACTCCTCCCAAAAAAAGCAGTATTTGGAGTTGCCAAGGTGATCTTATTATCTTAAATTATAAATTTGTTCCTCTGCTGTGCAAATAAATGCCCAATCAAAACCAGTTACAGTTGTGAAATAGTGGTAAACAAAAGTGTGCCTCTGCTAGTCAGATGCTTATCCTTCAAGACTTAGCTGAATAGGAAGCCAGTCTTTAGACATTGAGGCCGAATTAATCATGCTCTCCTTTGTACTTTCGTGGCATTTAGTATATTGGTATATATCAAGTATATTACACCATTATATCCTATCTTACTTTTATGTGTTTCCTCCACTATGTGAGCATCGTGGATTCCCAATTTTATCCAATATCTTCGTATCCTCAGCTCCTATGAACGAATATATATATGGATGTGAATCATTTCCGAAGACAAATTTGATAACAAGAATCAATATTACACGAACAAGTTCCATTTATTTCCTGCCAACCCAGTGGTTGAATTAAATTGCCATTCGTGGAAATCATATAAGGTATTCTTCGTTCTGTGCCAATAGGGTAGAATTATTTTCCTCGAAGGAAAGTTTTTTGGGCCTAGAAAGTGACCTCCACGAGAATGAAAGATTTAACCCTGGCTTCCAGGCTTTTTGTCCTTTTCTAAGGGCTCTGCCCTCCGTCCTTCCAAACTGTCAGCGAGAAGGTTAAATTCTAGGACCCGGGAGCCGTATACAGGATGGGCATCCGTCCCTCCCCAGGGACAGGGTGGCGGGCTCACAGCTCAGCGCGCAGGGAGCGCGCGCGGCAGGGAAGGTTGCGGGCCGCCGCACATTCTACGCACGCGCGGGCGGCCGCTCCGGCCCGGCATGCCTCCCGCGGGCGAGACGCGCGCCGGCAGTCTAGGCCGCAGTCAGCCTCGGTGTCCGGTCTTGTGGCGTTGTGTTGCTGCCGCGGTGCGGTTCGCGGCCGCTTTCCAAGCGCGGGATGTTGCTTCTGGCGTTGGGCGTCCGGCGGGCCTCCGGATTGCGGCTCTGCTGCAAGAGGACGGCATTGTGGGCGGCCTCTGCGCCCCAAAGCCCCAGGGCGGCGGTCTCGGGGGCTGCCTCCTGCAGCGCGCTCTCTGGGCCGGTCGGCGGCGGGAGCGCAGGGCTGAGGGGAGCCGCGACCTTTCTCTGGCGTCCCGGGCGAGCGCAGGTCGGCTGTCCGAGGGCTGGAGTTCGGAGTTGGGCAGGGGAGGCGGGCGTAGTTTCGGCCCCGGGGTCCCGGCGGCTCTCCGCGACCTCTCCCGCCTGTCCGTCACTCGAGTGCGGAAGGAGCCCTCCTTCTGCGGGGCTTGCACAAGTAGCAGGCCGAGGGCTCGGGGCTCGGCTGATGGCCCCGGGGTTCACTGCCAGTCTAGGAGTACGGTTGGAAAGTGGTTACTTTTCTAAGCGGTTCCAAGCATTTCACACGTGGTTCCAAATACAGTTTGTGGTGGCAACTCGGTTTAGCTCCTTTTCTACTCTTGAGCAGAAGCTTAGCAGGGTTAATTTGCAAAGAAATTGGGTGCTGCACCCAAAGAGCCGAAAAGAGCCTGAGCAGCCTGATTGAGTTCTATTTTTTTTAATTATTATTATTATAAGGGTGCTCTGTTTTTAGGAATTCTTATGGTCCCCTGGGAAAAGAGGGGATGTGGACGTTAATCCTTTCATATTAATCTGAATAAATTGTCTCCTAATTCTGCCCTGTAAAATATCAGGTTTGGCAAGCCTTGTTGAATCTTGGAAGAAATGCCTAAAATGGAAATTGGAACCTAATAACATTTCAGCATGAAGGAATTAGGCATGCCTTTTACATATAAAAATGTATACTCCATGAAATTCATTTTCGGATGTTCCGGCAACTCTTCTGTTTACATGAAATTTGATGTAGAATTTCAAGTAAATTTTTTTTCTTGTTGAACAGAGGATGCAAGGTATTTACAAGGCCTTTAGAAAAAGAGGGTTTTTCTGGTTTAAATGTTAGCTATAGTATAAACATTTTAGAAATATTAAAAAATGTCTGGACTTTATAATCTGAATTTGCAGAATGTTTTACTTAGATTACTGTATTAAAATTAAGTTGTTTATTTTTTTTAAGTTAATGCATTTAAATTGAATGAGAATGATGTCCTCATTAATGGTGGAATCTATTCCACTAAACTATTTTTATTTGTTCAAGGTCACTCTAGGCCTAAAAACCCGAGAGCTGGGATGCAAACTTAACAAACTCCAACTTGTCACTTTTCTGTTTGTGACTGGGATTAAGGAAAGCCATTCTGTTAGCTAATTTATTTTCTTTAGCTCTGTAGCTTTTTGGGGAGAATTCGTATGTCACCTCATGTGACAAGTTCTCTTCATTGCATTTTAAAAAATAAACTTTAAAATATTTAAAAGTTGGTTGAAAATGTAATTTACTATTTAATCATATTATGATGGTCTCTGTTTCAATAGATACCTGTTTGTTGGGAAGGATCTGTTCGATGCTCACATACACAACCTGACAAATCAGAAGACGGAAGGCTGATTTATACTGGGAATCTGGCCCGAGTAGTATTTGGTGGGTAATCGCAAGTGAAGATACTTCCTGTTTTTTCCTTTTGATTGTAAAAAATATTTTTAATATATTTACCTATTGTTATAGCATCATTTAATTATAAGACATAAGGAAATTTAGATTATAATTTTTTTAAACTTGTTAATAAGATGTAGAGACATTTACATTTTTAGGGGATTTTAAAAAGATGCTTAGAGGCTGTATTATGACTGATCTTACAGCTGAACACTTAAGCTTCCTTTGGTCACCTCTCTCAGGATGTTTAACAAAATAAAAATAAGTATGTATTTGTATACTGTTTGAATATGCAGAAGGAAAAAGTATGGAAGAATACTTCTTAAGAGTAGTTAACTTTTCAGAGTAGATTGGGGAATTTTCAACTTTTACTTTGTATATTTCTAAATTTGACAGTTAAAATGAGCATGTCATGCTTTTATAATTCAAAAGCATATAAATTATACATTTTTTTCAGGTCATCTTAGAATTTATAACAAACATTTATCCAGTGGCTTTTCCAGGTGGTAGAAAGTTATGGAGAAAGAAAAGACAGCCGTAAGTTTATTAAATAGCAATAAGTTTAAAGCACTTTCCTTAGGTCATAATTTAATATTTATTAGAGAAGGTCAGAAGAACTTAGTGAAAGGTAGGTATGTAATTTGTTCAAATTCCCAGAGGTTGCATTTCATTTTAATAAGCTAAAAATAAAATCTGAAACATCTAGATGATTAGTTTATAGCTAAGTATGGCCACAAGATTTGAGCACCCACATTTGCATTTGTGCTTTTGATCATGATGGTGTCAAGTGGTCATCTAAAATTCACTCTGGAAATCTGTAAGTTCTCAAGTGTGTGACATTAGAATATGTTTAAAGTACAATTTTAGCTATTTAGGACTTTTTAGGAAGGACTGATTATCATCACCATTAAATAGAGTTCTGAAGTAATTGGAATAACTAATTTTGGGTGGTTAGAAATTTCTTTGGAAGTCAGTACATGAGTAGGCCATTGACTCTGGTGTCCCATCTCAATGGCCTGGGATATCCTATATTGATGCCATTGAGATATCTTTTATTTATTTATTTACTTATTTAATTTTTTTTTTCTGAGGCAGAGTCTCGCTTTTTCCCAGGCTAGAGTGCCGTGGCATCAGCCCAGCTCACAGCAACCTCAAACTCCTGGGCTCAGGCAATCCTCCTGCCTCAGCTTCCCAAGTAGCTGGGACTACAGGCATGTGCCACCATGCCTGGATAATTTTTTTTCTCTCTATATTTTTAGTTGTCCAGTTAATTTCTTTCTATTTTTAGTAGAGACAGGGTCTTGCTCTTGCTCAGGCTGGTTTCGAACTCCTGAGCTCAAAGGATCCTCCCGCCTCGGCCTCCCAGAATGCTAGGATTACAGGTGTGAGCCACCATGCCCGGCCTGAGATACCTTTTAAAGGTGACTCCCATGGTACCCTTCTGTCTGAACACAGGCACCATTTCTTAAAATACAGTGAAGGCTTATTGATTTATGTTTTGTTCCCATTTGACTCCTTTCTGGGAAGGAGAAAATGGGTTAATTTTGGTGTGGGTAGCATGTAATATTTGGAAGGCAGCTATGCTCACCACTATACCACCAACGCCGGCATGGATGTAATATTTGGAAGAACATAACTATCTATGGTATTTAGCGTTCTAGAGGTATAACTTATAGAGGAATTTAATGTTTGAGTTCTTTCAATAGAGTGCGATTAATAGAAAGTCACTCTATAAGGGATTAGTTTTTTTTTTTTTTTGCATATAGAAACTGAGAGACATGAAGATAGAGGTATCATTCTTAGAGGTTCTCTGAACTACCAGTGGATCCTAGTCTAAAGACACTTGAAGGGCTTTTTAGTTGACAGTTATTGTTAATTCAGCAACAAATAATTACTGATGCCATCATAGTATTCACTATGAATTGTGTCAAGGACTTTGTGTCAGGGATGTTACTTAAAGATGATGTAGAATCTTAAGAGTCTGGTAGGAAAGATAATATGAACACATTGTCATAATAATAATTTTTAGTATTAGAGAATGGATATGAGTTCAGAAGGCAGATGTATCATTTTCACATTAGAGAGAGAAAGGCAGAACAGAGAGGGCCTCATTGGGCTGGAATTTTGGCTGGCTCTTTTAGATGAATAGAATATGAATATGAAGAGATGTGAAAGAAGGACATCCTAGGCTTGTAAGTTGTGTGAGGAAAGGCATGAAGATGGGAAAGCCAAGAATGTGTTTGGAAAATAGCAATTATTTCTACAATCCAGGCAAAATATGGTATATGTGTATATTGGTTTCCTGTGGCTCCTATAATAAATTACTACAAACTTGGTGAATTAAAACAATAGACACTTATTTTCTCATAATTCTGGAGCCTAGAAGTGTAAAATCAAGGTGTCAACAGGGCCATGCTCTCTTCCTTACTACTTCCAGCTTCTGGTGTCTCTGGAAATCCTTGGCATTCTGGCTTGTAGCTGTATAACTCCAGTCTGTGCCTTGGTCTTTGGTCTTTTTTTTTTTTTTTTTGAGGACAGAGTTTCTCACTCTTGTGCCCGGCGTTAGAAGTTGCCTGTGTCAAGCCTAGTCAGCAAAGCAACCTTGCAACTCTTGGTCAAAGCGAACCTGTCTGCTTTCAGCCTTCCAAGGTAAGCTGGACTAAACAGGCCATATGCCCTCGCAGCCCGCTATAATTTTTCTGATATATTATTTATAGTTGGCGAAATTAAGTTCGGTTCTATTTGTAGTAGGAGAACAGGTCTAGTCCTTGCTCAGCTCGGTTTTCGAACTCCTGACTTTAGAGTTGATCCCTCTCAACCTTGTGCGTCCAGATTTGCTGCGGATTACAGGGCGTGAAGGCACCACGCCTGCCTGCCTGCCTTGGTCTTCATGCCTGAATTTGTGTCTCTTGTTCCTAAATCTGTCTTATTAAGACCCTCGTGTGGATTTAGGTTGACTTTTTTTTTTTTTTTTTTTTTTGAGAAAGAGTCTTTCACGTTGTTGTTGCAAGCCTAGAGAGTTGCCGGGCGTCGAAGCCTAGTCACAGCAAAAACCTCAAAAACTCCCTCGCTTGAATGATCCGTCTTCTCAGCCTCCGAGTAGGCTGGACTACAGGCCAGCGGGGCCCACCATGGCCCGGCTATTTTTATATATATATCAGTTGGCAAATATTTCTTTCTAGTTTATAGAGAACGGGGGCTCGCTCTTGCTCAGGGCTTGTTTTGGAAAACTTCCTGAAAACCGTTGAGCAATCCGCCCGCTCGGCCTCCCAAGAGCAGGATTTACCAGCGTTGAAGGCCCCAGCGGCCCCGGGCTAGGTCTACTGTTAATTTAAATCTGGCAAAAGGAAACCCTGTTGCCAAAATAAGGTTCAGAAATCTTGAAGTTCTGGGTGGGTAAACATTGAATTTTTGTGGGACATTATTACCCCACTACAATTTTGACAAAAAGTAAGGGAAAACAAGACAGTTATTTTGGAAGGGCTGAGGAGAGAATTTTTTATATAGGAGGCAACTTTCGTGTCAAGTGTTTTGTTAATTCCCCAATGATATACCAGTTGTGTATAGAAAAACTTACGTGGAAAAAAAGGAGGTTTTTGAATTTTTTTAAAATTGGAGAAAAAGATTTTTGAAATTAAAGCCTTTCAGCAAACCAGCAGTGTTGATAGAGTAAACCCACAACTTCACCAACAGTTGTCAGACTTTTGGCTTTTGCCAATTTGGGGGACAAAAACGTAATTCTTACTGTTAGGTTTTTTTTTTTCGAAGACAGGGAGTTTTCCACCTTCTGGTTGCCCTGGCTAGAGTGGCCGTTGGTGTCAGCCTAGCTCACAGCAAACCTCAAACTCTTGGCTCAGGTTGACCTTCTGCTCAAGCCTTCCCAAGTAAAGCTGAGGGTCCTACAAGGACATGCGCCCACCTGATGCCAGGCTAAAAATTTTTTCTATATGTTTTAGTTTGCAATAATTTCTTTGCTATGTTAAGTAGAAGACGAGTCTCGCGTCTTGCTTCAGGCTGCTGGAAACTTCTTGAGGCTTCAGAAACATCCTCTTTTGCCTGGCATTCCAGAGTTGCTAGATTACAGGCCCAGAGGCAACCATGTGCCCAGCGTGTACTGAGTTAAAGAGGGTTTATGAATGAGGGTTAGCATCATTTTTATTGGTTTAAAAGGGCTATTGTTGTGGCATTTTTGCCCTTAAAAATAGGGGTATTGTGTCTTTCTTTTGCATTTTTCTGACAACCCCTGTTATATTAAAAATAATGATTTTGGCTGCGTGGCTTCACGCCCGTGTAGATCTAGCCACTTTTCTGGGACGGCAAGCGCAAGGTGGGATTGCTCCAAGTTTTCAGAGTTGAAAAACCAGGCCGAGGCAAGGGAGTGAGTTTTCCCTGTCCCTCTATATAAATAGGAGAAAGAAATAAGTTGCAAAATATATATAGAAAAAAAACAATTAAAGCGGCATGGTGGGCAACATTGCCTGTAGTTTCCCAGGCTACTCGAAGGGCGGAGGCAGCCAGGCTTGAGGCATGAGGTTGAGGTTGCTTGTTGAGGTAGGCTGACGCATGCCTTACTCTAGCCCTTGGGCAAGACAAAGCGAGGACTCTGTCCTCAAAAAAAAAAAAAAAAATTGTAATATATAAGTATAATATGAGTATGTGGTTTGTAAAAAACCCTTTGTAAATGTAAGAGTGGAAAATTTAGTATTTTCCATTTTCTGCAATTGTGTGTTCTTTGACTTTGGTTGTATGATGTTTATGTCTGTGTACTTTTTTTAATCTCTGATTTTACTTTTTTAATTTAAATCTCTGGGCTGTTTGGAATTTTCTTGGTATGTGGTATAAGGGATAGAGTGATCTCTTTTTCTTTATCATTTTCCATATGGTTGTCCAGTTAACTGTCCCAACACCATTAGTATTCCAAAAACCCCATCTGCCAGGCGAGGGGTGTCACGCCTTATGTAGATCCTGAAGCAACTTTCTGAGGGCCCAAGGCAGGGCGGATCACTCACGGTGCCAGGGAGTTTGAGGACCTAAGCCTGGAGCAAAGAGCGAGGACCCCAATTCTACTAAAAAAATAGGAAAGAATTAATTGGACAACTTTAAAAAATATATAGTAAAAAATAAAGGCAAGCATGGTGGCAATGCTGTAGTCCAGGTACCTCAGGAGGCTTGAGGCAGGAAGGATTGCTTAGCCAGAGTTGAGTTTGCTGTGAGCTAGCTAAATGCCATTGCCACTGAGGCCAGGCAACAAGTGAGGACTCTGCTCAAAAAAAAAAAAAAAATCCATCTTTTGCCTACTGAGATTAGATGGTATCTTTATTCTATACTAAATTTCCATGTATAGTTGGGTTTATTTCTGGATTTTCCATTTTGTTCCATTGATTTGCCTTTATTTGTATACCAGTTCCACACTATTTTATTTGTATTCTATTTTTCTATCGTGTTTAATATTTGAAAGGGCTTACTCCCCCTTTTTTTTCTTTTTCCGAATGAATGTTATAATCAACTTGTTTAGAATCTCAACTTGTCTACCTTCCAAATAGATGGTATTTTTATTAGGATCATGTTAAAATTATAAATTTTAAATTTATCATTAATTTATAAATGAATTATAGTTAATTCATTTATAAAATTATAAAGACTAAAATGTATGAAGTGCATAAAACAGAGCCTGGCATGTAATAAACACTATATTTGTGTTTTGAGTTTTTTTATTTGTTTTGATGATGACACAGAAGAAAAGTAGAAGAGTTAGTAGGATAGATTGATTCTTTTGTAAAACTTGAAAATATTGATCTTCTCCCATTTTTCCCCCTTTAGGTGTGAAGTGTTTCTCTTATTCTACAAGTGTGATCAGCTTGGCATGTCTCCCATACTTTCTTACACAAAATATTATTCTATCTGAAAATCTTCCTTTGCAAATCTTATTTTTTGGCATCATAGGAAGCTTTACAGTGATTACTCCAATGCTGCTTCACTTTGTGACAAAAGGCTATGTCATTCGGTTGTACCATGAGGCAGCTACAGACACTTACAAAGCCATTACTTACAATGTTGTGCTTTCAGAAACAAGTACAGTGTTCCACCAGAATGACGTGAAGATTCCAGACAGCACACATATGTTTACTACATTTTTTGCTAAAACAAAATCACTGTTAGTTAATCCAGTGCTCTTTCCAGACCCTGAAGACTATATCCATCTAATGGGTTATGACAAACCATTCACTTTTGATATGGAAGAAACCAGTGAAAACAAACAGGTTAAGGAGGAGAAATGAGCATATTGTTTTTATGTGTGATTAAATGTGATTTATGTTTCAATGTATAATAATAAAATTGTCTTTACTTTTGTATTCTGTTAGTGACTGATTGTTAAAAATAATTTGAAAGTATAAAATAGCTTTTAATATTCAGAGAATGATAACTCACAGTAAAATAAGCTATGTTTGAAAAACAAAACATGGTTATCTACTATTTGTGCTTAAGGTATGTGAATATACATGTTCATGATGGTATATACACAGATAATTTAAGAGCTATATCTAAGCATGGTTGCCTCTAAACTGGGAATCTGTCAGAAACAAACGGGAGAGTTACTTTTTTCTTTGTGTATGGATTTTTATGTGTATATGAATATTCTTTTCCCACATTAAAAAACTTTGAAAAATTCACAAATTATGGGAAGCAGTATTAATATGTCTCCTCTGATTCAGAACATAGGTTTTGCCTACCTCTGGCATGGTTGCCTATAATGAGAATGTTCACATATAGTTGAGTTTGTAGTTAGCTATCAGGGAAATGGTAACCCAAGTAGTGTTTTCAGTATTCTTGCTTGGCACCTTATCATAGTAGGAAAATCACTGGTACTAAATATGTGGACTGTACCTTCTATAAAATAGTCTCTATGCTAGCTTTTGCTTCCAAAAGTATCAAAATGGCCATTAGATATGAATGGCAGTCTTCGCTTGGACATATTTTTAAAAATTGTGATTTTTTTCTTTTTTCTAATTTTTTTTTTTTTTTTTTTTTTAAGAGATGAAGTCTTGCTGTGTTGCCCAGGCTGGGGTATAGTGGTACAGTCACGGCTCATTTCAGCCTTGAACTCCTGGGCTTAAGTGATCCTTCTGCTTCAGCCTCCCAACTAGCTAGGACTGACTACATATGTGTGCTACCATGCCTGGCTAATTTTTAAAAGTTTTTTTGTAGAGATGAGATCTTGCTGTGTTGCCCAGGCTGGTCTGGGCTTAAGAGATTTTCCTGCCTTGGCCTACCAAAGTGCTAGGATTATGCCTGGCCTCTCATTCTTTTAGAATACTTTACACTTTTGTTGTTTTTATTTTTATTGCGATTTTCAAACATAAAAAAGAATAGTGAACCTCAATGACTCATTCAGATTCAACAATTACCAATTTGTACTCAATATTTTTTAATCTAGACCCTAAACACTTTTACTTTTTTGAGAAGCAAATCTCAGTCACAATAATATTTCTTTCTTTTTTTTTTTTTTGAGACAGAGTCTCGCTCTGTTGCCTAGGCTAGAGTGAGTGCCATGGCGTCAGCCTAGCTCACAGCAACCTCAATCTCCTGGCTCAAGCAATCCTTCTGCTCAGCCTCCCAAGTAGCTGGGACTACAGGCATGCGCCCACATGCCCCTAATTTATATATATATATATATTATATAGTTAGCCAATTAATTTCTTTCTATTTATAGTAGAGACGGGTCTTGCTCTTGCTCAGGCTGTTCGAACTCTCCGTGAGTAATCGGCCTGCCTCGGCCTCCCAGAGAGCAAGGATTACAGGCGTGAGCCACCACGCCCGGCCTATTTCTTTCTTAAATATTTAGTTTTGTAACTACAAGATAAGGCCTTTAAAGATACAAACACCATTATCATACCTACAAAAACAAAACAAAAAACCCCATCACGCCAATGTTATCAAACACCAAGTTTGCTTAAATTTCCAACTGGTTCGTAATTTTTTCCCACATTTTGTTTGGCTTAAGATCCAAGTAAGATTCACACCAATTTTTGAAATGTCTTTTAAGACTGTTCTATGGGCTCCTCCATTTCTTTCACTTTTTTTCTTTTTGCGTTACAAATTATCTGTTGAAGAAACAATTGTCCTTTAGGGTCTCTCATGGTCTAGATTTTCTGATGGTACCCCTGAGCTGTATTTTTTTTTGAGACAGAGTCTCACTCTGTTGCCTGGGCTAAAGTGCTGTGGTGTCAGCCTAGCTCACAGCAACCTCAAGCTCCTGGCCTCAAGTGATCCTCCTGTCTCAGCTTCCTGGGTAGCTGGTACTACAGGCACATACCACCATGCCCAGCTAATTTTTTTATTTTTAGTTGTTTGGCTAATTGCTTTCTATATATAGTAGAGACAAGGTTTCACTCTTGCGTAGGCTGGTCTCAAACACTTGAGCTCAAGCAATCCTCCTGCCTTGGCCTGAGCTGACTTTTAACATGCTTCTCTTCTTTATTTCCTATAAATGGATAAGTAGATCTTAAAGCTTCATCAGAGTGAGGTTTCATTATTTGGGACAAAACTACTTCATAGATGTTTTTATTATTAATAATTATTACTACATTACAAATTGCACCTAATACTTAAGGCATAAAGGAACAATAAGTTTGCAGTTGGGGAGTGGTTTAGCTGACTTGTTTGGCTCAGGTTTTCTCAGGAAGCAGCAGTCAAGTCAGATGGTGCTGTGTCATCTGAAGGCTGGACTGGGATACAAGGAACTGCTTCCAATATGGCTCATTGACATGACTGACTATTTGGCACTAACTTTTTGGCAGGAAGTCTCAGATACTATACTTGATCTTAGCCAAAAGGTTAAGAAGCAATGGCAGGAGGCCTCAGTTTTTTACCACGTGGATGTCTTTCTAGGGCTGCTGCTTCCAGAGCAAGTCATCCAAGACAGCAAGGTGGAAGCTACCATGTGTTGTGTGACGCATGTAGAAGTCACATGCTGTCACTGCATAATGCTTTATTGGTTACACGGTGAGCCTTATTCAGTGTTGGAAGGAATTCACAGGGGTGTACATACCAGGAGATAAGGCTCTTTGGGAGCTCTCATGAAGGCTGGTCACCACAGTGCTCTTCCATTAAAAGGTACAAACCATACATGCCATCTTTTTGTCTCTGTGATGTTAGCAACTATTGATGCTCAATGTCTAAGTCTATTAATTCATTAGATGTTGCAAAATGGTTATATTCTATTATTCCTTTTCTATTTATTAGCTGAAATACTCCTAAAAATAGAGATAGGAGTACAGGAAGTAAAGAAACTCACTCCTCTCTATTTGGTAACTCAGTAATTCAGTTTGTACAAGAGTCAGGATAAATGATTGATCCTTTCCCTTTATTTGCCAGTTTTAAAATAGAGTTGGTTGCCTAGCATCATCTGATGATAAATAGACTTAAAAAAATGTATGATTTTATGGATTTAAGTATATTTGATGTATTTTAATTTATTACAGTTAATATATTATTAATGTTCATGTAGTCATATAGGTAAGCTAAATAATGGCATAAGATGTTCATGTCCTAATCACTGGAAGCTGTGAATTTTACCTTATATGGCAAAAGGGATTTTGCATATGTGGTAGAATTAAGGATTTTAAAATGGATTATCCTGGATTATCCAGCTGGATCCATTGTAATCACTGGGTCCTTATAAGAGGGAGGCAGGCTATCAGAAGAGAAGGCGAACGGATGATGAAAGCAGAGATTGGAGTGATGCACATGAGGATGGAGAAATGCAAGGATTGCAGCTCTAGAAGCTGAAAAAGGCAAGGAAACGGATTCTCCCCCTAGTCTCCAGAAGGAACCAGCTCTGCTGCACCTTGACTTTAGTCCAGTGAAACTGATCTTGGACTTCTGACCTGCAGAATTGTAAGAGAATAAATTAACACTGTTTTAAGCCACTAAACTTTTGGCAATTTGTTACAGCCCCAGCAGGAAACTACTAACAGCCATCTTTGATCGGTAGAACCCTCTTTAAACTGGTTATCTAGTATGATAAAGTGTTTTGGGCTCATCTTGTACATTTTCTGCCCCAGACCTGTAATCAATAATTTCTCTAAGGAGTCTTGGTTCCTTTTAGTGGGAAATGGTGTTTTAAGACCACTAGGGGCATTCATGGGTCTTTGCCTTTTTTTTACAGCTCTTAAATTTATTTTCAAATTGTGATAAAAAATGTGTAACATAAAATTTGCCATATTAACCAATTTTAAGTGTACAGTTCAGTAGTGTTAACTATATTCACATTATTTCAACAGATTTCTAGAACTTTTTCATCTTGCCAACCTGAAACTCTATGCTCATTGAGCAACTCTCCATTTGCCCCTCCTCCCTTGGATTTTTGCCTTTTTAAAAATGGGAAGCCAGGCATGATGGCTCCCACCTGTAGTCTCAGCTACTCTGAAGGCTGAGGCAGCAAGATTGGTGAAGCTCAGGATTTCGAGGCTGCAGTGAGCTATCATGACACCTGTGATTAGCCACTGCATTCCAGCCTGGGCAATATATAGCAAAACCTTGTCTCTAAAGAAAGGGAAAGCAGCACAGTTCCATTGTAAAACCTTTACCAACAAATGATTATTTTCCTTTTAAGTGTGCAGGTCTTTAGGCTACAATTCCATGGCATTTTTGGCTATTAACCCTAAACTATATCCTATAAAGGATTTCATGTAGCAAAGCATCTAAAGAAATGGCTTTCTAAAATGCAGTGAGAGTTTTGAAATGAAATATATGCCACACAAAATAATGACATTTCACTATTTTTTTTTTTTTTTTTTTGAGACAGAGTCTCGCTTGTTGCCCAGGCTAGAGTGAGTGCCGTGGCGTCAGCCTAGCTCACAGCAACCTCAAACTCCTGGGCTCAAGCAATCCTACTGCCTCAGCCTCCCGAGTAGCTGGGACTACAGGCATGCGCCACCACGCCCGGCTAATTTTATATATATATACATTAGTTGGCCAATTAATTTCTTTCTATTTATAGTAGAGACGGGGTCTTGCTCTTGCTCAGGCTGGTTTCGAACTCCTGACCTCGAGCAATCCGCCCGCCTCAGCCTCCCAGAGTGCTAGGATTACAGGCGTGAGCCACCGCGCCCGGCTGACATTTCACTATTAGGACTCACAATATTCTCGAGCTCTGGTTGGTTCTAGGTGAATGCATTCTCAAGACTGGTGGGGTGTCTGCCCACAGTGCAGAACCACAGCTAGCGCCCCCTGTTTGGGGTCTCATCTGTCCTTGTTCTTTTCTGTGTGTGGCTAAGTTTGTTGCTGAAGAGTAATAGTTTACATGAGACTGTTCAGTTCAGATCTGTAGGTCCAGCTCTCTGAGCCATGAGAAATTGTTGTATAAAGAACTTGTGGGAGAGAATAGTAATGCAGATGCAAAAGAAGTGCCAGTGTGTTGAGACTTTCAGGGAGGTGTATGGACTGGTTTTGTTATTATTGACTGGGAAGTGCCTTGTTTTGTTTTGAAAGCTGGTCACTCATTTGTATCAAGTATTTGAAAAGTAAATTGTTTCCTCTTTCCCCTTTGAGGAAATGCTCGAATTTTAGACACACACACACACACACACACACACACACACACACATAAAAAGAGGAAACGGATAGAAACTCAGAAATCATGTGATTGATGACTAAGTTAAATCTTTTCTACTTACTGAAAAAGAAGAGTCTGATGATTAGTTGTTGAACCTCCTTGCATTTTTAAAGTTTTGGGAGACAGTGAATCATGTTCCTATTTATGATTTTTCCTACCCTGTTTTCTTCCATATTTACTGAACCTGGGAAGCAAAATTGGGTCTGCAACTCCTCTGATGCAAGCATTTGGTACACCTACTGTGGTAAGTAAAACAGCAACAACAAATAATTGTAGCATCAACTATCTTGATGGTAAGTTTTCATAAGAACATTACAGCTGCTGGCTGTTGTCGCTGGAACACAGGAAATGTCAGCATGTTCCAGCTGCTACGGCTGCTGCTGCCAGCAGGAAAAGTAATAGCTGGTAACTGCCCTGTGTGAATCTTTCCCACCCCTCATAGAGCTCATGAGGCCATAACTGTGTTGTGCTCGACCTCCAAGTGCTTCTGTTGTTCCCTGTGTCAACGATCTCTACCTTGAGTCCAGTTTCTGATTCTTTTCAGGTTCAGTAGAACTGTCTGCTTCCAGGCTTTTGCTTCAGCCCCAATACTTACTTCTTCTTGATAAGGTAGAACAGTCCTAGTTGCTTCCTGGGGTTGATTTCTGCTCCAGGTTGTGACCTTTGAGGGCCCTGGAATCATTTCCCTAACTGGATGTAATCTTGGTTCTGCAGTCTCTAACAGTACGACCTGAAGCGAAGTACTTAGCATCTCTGTGCTCCAGTTTTTTTAGCTATAAAATGAAAGTACTTTTGGAGTCTCCTTCTTGCCTCCCTCCCTCCCTCCCTTCCTTCCTTCCTTCCTTTATTATTTTAGAGACAGGGTCTCACTCTCTCGCCCAGGCTGGAATGCAGTGGCTATTCACAGGTGCCTTCATAGCTCACTGCAGCCTCGAACTCCTGGGCTCAAGTGATACTCCTGCCTCGGCCTGCTGAAAGTCTCCTTTATAAGTAGTTGCTGTAAGGTAAAGTATTTAGCACAGGGTCACATAGAAACCATAATATTGATTACTTTTTTTTTTAAAAGATCAGCCGTACTCTAATGCTGTTCACTGGTTTTATGACTGTCCCTCTCCCCCAACTTCTCACTAACAGATGTCCTTATGTCTGAAGGCACAGCTTTAGGGCTTGACAACTATTTTGGTTTGGTACTTTCCACTGTGTTGCTTGCCATGAGTTGGCTGCCCTTTTCTACCCAGTAGCAATATCAGAAAGGTTTAAGGTGATGCTTCCCAAAGTACTAGTTCTTTGAGATTCTTTGGGGAAGAAAAGGATCTACGAACTAATCATTTGGGGGAAATTTACAAATGTGCTTTAAGTTCTGAGAAGTTCTGCAACAAAGAAAACTTTAACAGTTTTCACTGTTAAACTGTGATATTTTCAATTTTCAAATTTCACCACAAAATTTTCAATTTCATATTTTCTTCCTGGAGTGTGTGTCGCCCAACTGTCCTGAGAAACACTCTGGCAGATGCTAACGTAAAGTTACTTCTGGGGAATTGGGCTCATTGCCAGGTGTGAGAACGAGACGTAGAGTGTGACCAGTCACACACTGTGTCCTTTCTCCTCCTTATGGATTGTGCTGAATTCACTCTCAATTTATCGCTGAAATCTCCCCATGTTACAAGAGTAATTTAGTCCCCACTTCCAGCACGGCTCCTCGGTCCACTTGGCCCCCACTTCCCCTCTCCTCCTTTGGCCCTTTTGTGCCACACGTTGATTATGCCACTCTTCATATGGCTTTTATTGATATGACATTTCATATTATGGCTTAGCTTTTAATCTTTTAGTAATAATAACTTGATTTGGCTTTTGGTTTAATTTTCTAAAGGAGGATCTTACCTTTTTCTCTCTGATGCTGAGAAAGCTGTGGTCCTTTCCTGCTGACACAGGCACTGTGGGTGACCAGTGCATTATACTTCTACAGCAAGAAGCTACTTGCTGCCTTCCCACTGCCAGATCACTCCCTTCCCTGCCCAGGAGAGCCGCAAATGAATCACCCGGGAAGCGCTGATTCCTCTAGGTATCATTGTCAAGTTGTTGGCAACAACTCCTGATTCACCATGAGGGTGATTTCCTTGTAAAAGAAGAGGCAAATTTCCATTTGGCCAAGCTACTGGGCATATAGTGTCTTAGTTAGCTCAGGGTGCCATCACAAAATACCAAGACCAGGTGGGTTAAACAAGAGAAATGTATTTTTCTCACCATTCTAGAGGCCGGAGTCCAAGATCAAGGTGTCTACATAAATGGTTTCTCCTGAGGCTTCATTCCTTGGCTCGCTGCGATAGTTTGAATTTTGCTTCCTACCAAAAACACCCGTTGAAATTTAATTGCCATTGTGTGATATTAAGAGGTCGGATCTTTAAGAAGTGATTAGGCCATGAGGGCTCTGCCTTCATCAACAGATTAATGTTGTTTTTAAAGGAGAGGGTTTCTTATAAAAGGACATGTTTGGTCCTCTTTTGTCTCTTGCTCTTACCATCTCGTTTTTACACTCTTCTGGCCTAGGACGAGGCAGCAACAAGGCCCTTCTCAGATGCCAGCACCTTGATCTTGGACTTCCCAGCCTCCAGAACTATGAGAAATAAATTTCTACTCTTTATAAATTACCAAATCTTTGATATTATGTTATAGCTGCACAAAATGGACTAAGATGCTTGCAGATTGCCGATTGCTCACTGTGTCCTCGCGTTGCCTTTCGTGTGCGCGTGCATCCCTGGTGTCTCTGTGGGTCCAAATTTCCTCCTCTTAAAAGGACACCAGTCAGATTGGATTAGGGCTCACCCTAATGGCCTTACTTTAAAGTACCTCTTTAAAGGCTCTATCTTTAAATATAGTCATATCCTGAGGTACTGGGGCTTAGGCCTTCCGCATATGAATATGGGGGCACTGGGGAGACAGAAGGCCCAGGAACACAGTTTAGTCCATATATACAAAAAATGCCATATATACAAAAATGGCAAAGATTGGCTGGTTTTTTTGTTTTTTTTTTTGAGACAGAGTCTCGCTTTGTTGCCTAGGCTAGAATGCCGTGGTGTCAGCCTAGCTCACAGCAACCTCAAACTCCTGGGCTCAAGCCATCCTCCTGCCTCAGCCTCCTGAGTAGCTGGGACTACAGGCATGCACCACCATGCCCGGCTAATTTTTTCTATATATATTAGTTGGCCAATTAATTTCTTTCTATTTATAGTAGAGACGGGGTTTCGCTCTTGCTCAGGCTGGTCTCGAACTCCTGACCTTGAGCAATCCGCCTGCCTTGGCCTCCCAGAGTGCTAGGATTACAGTGTGAGCCACTGCGCCCGGCCAGATTGGCTGTTTTTTATTCCCCCAATTTTGGAAAGGCAGAAAATGTGGGTGCGTGAGTCAGTCCATAATGGGCATATGCCCTCCTGTCATCCAGAGTCATCAGTCTCAGTTCAAATTTCTTTTTGCTGCAGATAGTCCATAAACCCAAAGAATTCATGGATTGTTTAATTAAACCAATATTCACTCAGCATCTAACATGTGCCTGTTCCAGGAACTGAGGAGGCAGCAGTGAACAACAAAGACAAAATCAGTAAAATATTCACATTAGATGGTGTTAATTGCAGTGAGAGAAAAATAAAGCTGAGTGGGGGGATAGAGAATGCAGAGACAGAGGGGATGGCAGTTTCATTTTATTTTGTATTTTTAATTTTTTTTGAGACAAAGTCTCGCTTTGTTGTCCAGGCTAGAGTGAGTGCCGTGGCATCAGCCTAGCTCACAGCAACCTCAAACTCCTGGGCTCAAGCAGTCCTGCTGCCTCAGCCTTCCGAGTACCTGGGACCACAGGCACCATGTCCAACTAATTTTTTCTATATATATTAGTTGGCCAATTAATCTCTTTCTATTTTTATAGTAGAGACGGGGTCTCGCTCTTGCTCAGGTTGGTTTCGAACTCCTGACCTCGAGCAATACACCCGCCTCTGCCTCCCAGACTGCTAGGATTATGGGGGTTTCATTTTAAATTAGGATGGTCAAGGAAGGCCTCACTGAGGAGGTGTCATTTAGTAAGGGCCTAGAATAGCTGAGGAGTGAGCCATGCAGGTGTCTGGGGGAGGGCTGAGGAAAGAGCAAGCACAGAGGCCCCTGGGTGGGGGCATGTGTGGTGTGTAGAAGGATAGCAAGGGGGCCAGTGAGGCCTCGATGTAGGGAGTGAGGGGGCAGTAGCATCAGGTGAGGTCATAGAAGGAAATGGCAAGGGGAAGGAACTTGCAGGTCAGGGGGATGACCTATATTTACTGTGAGTGAAGCTTGTCTAGTTTCTGTGTTGATAATAATCTGTAAGGGGGAAAAAGTGGGTCTGGGAGACACATTGGGAGGCTACTGCCATGATCCAGGTGCAATAGATAATGGGACTTAGGCCAGAGTGGCAGTGGTGGAGGTGATAAGGCATCAGATTCTAGAAATGTTCTGATGATGGAGCCAACAGAATTTGCCAACTGATTGGATGTGAGGCTGTAGCACGACCCTACTGCTAGGCTGTCTTGGCATCTGGTGTGTCCCCCCCACTCCAAGCATGTCAGACTCTTTATTAGCCTCTGTTGTACTTCTATTCTCTAACCTAAAATAGCCACGTCCATCCTTCTGTTTCATGCGAACCTTAAGAGGTCCATCAGAAGTCCCATCTGCCCTGTGGAGCCTAGTTGAGTCAGTTGAATTAAATTCAGTTTAGTAAATCGTTATTGAATGGCATCAGGTTTTGTCATGCTAGGGAATACCAAGAATGCAAAGGTTATATAGGATATGTCCTGTACTCTCAAGGAACTTCTTGCTTTTATCTTACTTATGTGTAGTAGGAAGGCTAACTATACAAATGACCAGGATTCATTTATTTGTTCTACAAACTCAGTGTGGCCACTGGAAAGTCTCATAGCCAACTGGAGCTAGAACTATAGACTTATACCTTTTTAAACCTCATTCTTTCTAAGTCTTTTAAACCTCATTCCTTCTGAGTCTTCTCCATCTCATCATCTACCTAATTTCTTAGACCCCAAACCAGGTGTATCCTTAATAATCTATTTCTGTCACCTACCACATTTAATGTATCAGTAATTTCTGTTTTCATGATCTCCAGATTATATTCTATATCCAACTGCTTCTCACTGTCCTCTGCTAACACTTATGCCACCTTTAGCTCTCCTTGGCCTCTGCAAAACCTCTTAAATTGTTCTCTTTCCACTTCAG